GTGGTTGTTTCGGGAAGGTGAGCATCATAGAATGCCAATTTACTAGAAGAAAGTATTCTTGTGTTGAGGGAGTACTTGAGTGGAGGCCCAATATCAGGTTGTTCTTCCTCCAAGACAGACTGGTTTGTCCTTTCAGCAGTCCATGGGCTTCAATATTCTTCTCCATCAACACAACTCAAACGCATCCATTCTTCTTTGGTCTTCTTTGTTCAGTGTCCAACTTTCACACACATATGAAGCTATTGAAAATACCAGGGCTTGGGTCAGGTGCACCTTAATCTTCAAAGGCACGTCCTTGCTTTTCAGTGCTCTAAAGCAGTATTGTACAGCAGATTAACCTAATGCAACATGTCTTTTGATCTCTTGACTGCTGCTTCCATGAGCAATGATTGTGAAGCCTAGCAAGATAAAATTCTTGACAACTTCAACCTTTTCTTCATTTGACAAGATGTTACCTATTGATCCAGTTGTGAAGATTCTGATCTTTTTTACATTGAGTTTTAATCCATACTGAAGGCTTCAGTCCTTCATCTTCATCAACAAATGCTTCAAGCCCTCCTTAATTTCATCAAGCAAGGCTGTGTCATCTGCACATCTGAGGTTGTTCATAAGTCTTCTTCCAATCCTGATGCCACATTCTTCTTCAGGTAAACCAGCTGCTCTGATGATTTGCTCAGCATACAGATTGAATAAGAATGGTGGTAGTAGACAACCCTGTCACAAACCTTTCTTAATATTGAACCATACAGTACTCTCTTGTTCTATACCTCCACCTTCATCTTGATCCATGTATAAGTTCTCCGTGTTTCATTGAAGTGTTCTGGAATTCCAATTCTTCTCAAGGTTATCCACAGTTTGGTATATCCACATAGTGCAGTGCCTTGACATAGTCAATAAAATACAAGTAAACCTCTTTCTGGTATTCTCTGCTTTTTGCCACCACTCATGATACCAGCAATGATATCCGTTGTTCCAAGGCCTCTTCTGAATCTACTTTGATCCTCTGGCACGTCCCTAAGAACGATATAGGTACTGCTGCAACCATTGCTGGATGATCTTCAGAAAAGATTTACTTGCATGTGATATCAACACTAATGTTGTATAATTTTCCCATTCTGTTGGGCCACATTTCTTTATGGGTACATGTATGGACCTCTTCCAGTCAGTCAGTCAGTCACTGTCACTATGTGACTGTCTTCCTTCTATCATGGACATAGATGAGTAAATGCTTCCAGTGCTCTGTCAGCTTGTTGAAACATTTCTGTAGGTGTTCTAATAGATGATAAGTCAGGTTCAGAAATGTTAAGAATGCTGTTCTTTTTAGTCAGACTAGCAGGCACATGAGGAGTACTGGTGGCATAGTGGTTTCATGTTGGGCTGCAATCCACAAGGATGGCAGTTCAAAACCACCAGCCACTTTGCTAGAGAAAGATGAAGCTTTCTCTTTCTGTAAACAGATCCAGTCTCAGACGCGCACAGGAGCAGTTCTACCCTGGCCTCTAGGGTCACTATGAGTTGACTTAATGGCAATGAGTTGTTGTTATTGTTAGCAAGCACATTCCTCTCTTATTCTAATACATTATTTTAGTAGTGGAGCTGCATTACTCAGTGTTCAAAGGTGGTGGACAAGGGAAAGGTAACAGGTTAGGAGTGCGTCGGCAGGGGTCAGAAAACTACTAACAGCTCCACTTGGCAAACACAGAGGCCTGGTCCCCGTATTTCTTCAAGTGCAGCAGTGGGTCACACTCTCCAGTCATAGGATCATGGAGGCCAATAAAACGGATTATTAACAAGAAGTCTTGAGATCTGCTTTCAGTCAAGGCATTGGGTGAAAAGTTAATCCATTTCCCAGACTCCTCTGGGGGATTCAAGAGTCTTTCACATCATATTGCCATGCTCCCTGCTCCTGGTCCTCTTTTCCACGTCCTCATCTTTCAGGCATTTGCTCACCTCCTCCTCAAGATCCTGGCAGTGACCAAAAAATTTCAGAACGCTGTGGTTTTTGTGGCATTCCTTTGACATGTTAATCAAGGTGCTGCATGCTTCCGTGGGCAAGTGTGGAGACCGTTCAGGACACATCTTTAGAAGGTGACGGATCACGGCAGAGCAGCCCTCTCGCAGCCATCCTGGGAGGCCTGAAGTGGTGCCCCTCAGAGGCTCACGACCAACAGGCACACTGCTCGGTGAACGGTGACAACTCGTGAGTCCCTCTTCCTCTCTGCTTCTTGACCTCTCAGCTATGAGGCCTCTTGGCCTGTGCTCTGCTCAGGCAACTCTTTCGGAGCTTCTTTAGGGCTGGTGGAAGCCCAAGGATATGCAAGCCCTGTTCTGCGATGCAGCCTCCCGCCCCACGACACTCAGCTTTACTCTTTCCTCGAGCCTAAAAGCCCAGCATTCTGTCTCTCTGTGCTGCTTTCTCTGCTTCTCTGCACAAGGGTCTCAGCGGTGCTTCGCTTGTGGCTCTTCTTTTCCAGTGGTCTTGAGAGTCTCCATTGCTGCTTCTGATGGCTCACTTTACACCCAGGGAATTGGCAAAACGGTCCAATTCTCTTAGTAGAGCCTCATGCACTCGATTTGAATGTTCCTGCCTCGTCATTTGGGGAGAGATAAAGAGACCATGGTTTGAAGAGCTGTAACCAGGTAATGTCACTTCACCACAGGTGCCCTTGAGTCAATTTTGACTCATATTATCCTGTGTGACAGAGTACAACTACCACTAGGTTTTCTAGGTTGGATTCAGTTTTGACAAGAGCAGGTCATCAGGTATTTTCTCTAGTGCTACAGTGGGTTCAAATGGCCAACCTTGCACTTCACAGCTGAGCACATAACTGTCATACCAGCAGACTATCTATCACCTATCTATCTATCTATAGAGAGTGAGAAAACAATGCTAACACAAAATGAAACAAAAGTGATTCTGGATATAAGTGTGTTCTTTGTATTCTTGTTCTTGTAACTCTTAGATCTGACATTGTTTTCCAATAAAAAGGGGGAACGGTAACCTAAAGGATGGTCTGTAACTGTGTCCCTTAGCTCCTCTTTCAAGATGTTGACGATAGGCTTTCCATCCTACCATGTCCTCGACTTTCCCTAGATAAAATCAACCAATTGGTTCCAACTCTTGGTGACCCCTGGTACTGCAGAATAGAAATGTGTTCCGTGGGGTTTCCAAGACGTGTCTTCTTGGAAGTAGATTTGCTGGGCCTTTCTTCCAAGGTACCCTTGGGTAGACTTTAACGCCCAACTTTTAGGTCAGCAGCTGAGTGCAGCTGGGAGAAAATCAAATTTGTACCGCCTAGGAACTCCTTTTTCTCTTCCTTCATAATCCCACGTGTTCCCACTCTGAACTCCCAGAGACTCATCTGCCTGAAAAGGATGTATTTCTTTTCTGTTGATATGATCAGGAAGAGAAGAAAGGCCCCATGAGCAACACTGATAGGTAAGGGTTAAAATTGACCCCTGCTCATCTGGGATCCATCTTCTGGTTCCCAGGCTTCAGGGAGCAGCTCCTCTCTGGCCTGCTGAACTCTGGCCAGAGCAAAGATGCAGAGCAAAGGATCTATTTAAAAAGAAGGGATGAGACAGCCAGGATGCAGTATGGTTCTTTAATGCTATCCTTTCCTTCCCCCCTTCCCCACTATCATGACCCCAGTTCTACCTTAGAAATCCACCTAGACCAGAGCATGTACACTGGTACAGATAACAGCTCTCGACACATGGAATCCAAGAACACTAGTGGGAGTAGCAATACCATGAGGGTAGGGGAGGGTGGGGGGAGAAAGGAGGAACCAATCGCAATGATCTACGTTTACCCACCCACACACCGCCGGTGGCAAACAGCAAAAGTGTGGGTGAAGGGGAGATAGTGGATGGTGTAAGATATGAAGAAAAAAAAGCAATTTATAATTTATCAAGGGTGGGAGGATGGGGGAGGGAGGGTAAAAAGAGGAGCTGATACCAATGACTCAAGTAGAAAGAAAATGTTTTGAAAAGGATGATGGCAGCATAGGTACAAATGTGCTTGATACAATGGCTGTATGGATTGTTATAAGAGCTATAAGATCCCCCAATAAAATGATTTGTTAAAATAAAAAACTTTTAAAAATTAGTAACTTCTAGGATATGCCTATTAAAAGACCTGGAGGCTCATGATCCCTATGTGACTTGGCCTCTGTGGATTTCTCCTGTCTCATTTCTAGCCTGGCCCCTCCCTCTGCCCTATGCTGCAACTTTCCTGAGTTCTTGTAGTTCCCCAAACTCGCCCAATGCCTTTGCTCATGCATCTGTACTTCCTGGAATCTCCCCTGCCCCTCTGCATTTACCTAATAAACTCCCACTCATTTATCATGCCTCGCCAAAGTCTGAAGCACCACTAATGAGGAGCGGAACTCTTTCCCCGATACATTACCTGTTTCCACCATACCATGCAATAGAGATGATTATTGGAAGTCATCATTGGGGAAGTCCACAGATTTGCATTTTCCTTTGAATTTTGGAAGGTCAAGGCAGGGAAATTATGGGGCAGGTCATCTAGCAGGTTTCCAACAGAGATAGGTCTGGAAATCAACATTTCCTTCATTGCTTGGACTTTGCTGATATCTACCTACTCCACCCTTTACTCTCTTTGATGGGCTTTTGATTCTCTCAAACCTTTGACCTCTGAATTTTGTAGGACCTGCTAGGATGGCAACATTGTGGGGGGCTTCCCATACTTCAGGATAGTGGTGCAATAGGCCTATAGAGCATCTAGACATATAATGAACACCTAGAACCACAATGGAAGCCTCTAGAAAGCTGCGTGGTGTATAAGGCCTTTGGAATCACCAATACCAGCTAACATCACCCGGCTCACCACAGAGAACCAGTTCCAGCCATCACATTAGAGTGAGTTAATTAAATGGTTGACTTGTATGGCCCATAACTGATGTTATAGATATCCCTAAATGAAGGCCCTTGGCTGAAAAGAAGTTCCCCATCCCAAAAGAGAATGACTTTTGGAATCATACAGGTTTTAGTTTCAGATTCATCATTTACCCGCTTTAGAAACTCAGGAAAATTAAACTTTCTAAGCTTCAGTTTACTCATGTGAAAAATGAATGACAGTAAAGCATCCCCTCACACACACACACTTCTTTTATAGCATTTCCATTTTTTATCAGTACTAAATGAGACAATTTCAGTATCTCATTCAGCCATCTAGCATGAGATCGGCATATATTAAGTGCTCGATAAACATCAGTTACCTTCCTCTGTCTCATGCTGCTCCCTATTTTCTCTCAAGTTCAGATATTTTTTCAATCATTTTATTAGGGGCTCATACAACTCTTATCACAATCCATACATACATGTACTGTGTAAAGCACATTTGTACATTCATTGCCCTCATCATTCTCAAAACATTTGCTTTCCACTTAAGCCCCTGGCATCAGCTCCTCATTATTCCCCCCCCTCCCTGCTTCCCCCTCCCTCATGAACCCTTGATAATTTACAAATTATTATTTTATCATATCTTACACTGTCTGACATTGCCCTTCACATACTTTTCTGTTGCCCATCCCCCAGGGAGGAGGTTCTATGTAGATAATTGTAATCGGTTCCCCCTTTCCATCCCACCCTCCTTTTACCCTCCCAGTATCGTCACTCTCACCACTGGTCCTGAAGGGATCATCTGCCGTGGATCCTCTGTGTTTCCGGTTCCTATCTGTACCAGTGTACATCCTCTGGTCTAGCCAGATTTGTAAGGTAGAATTGGCATCATGATAGTGGGGTGGGGGCGAGGAAGCATTTAGAAACTAGAGGAGAGTTGTATGTTTCATCATTGCTACACTGCACCCTGACTGGTTCATCTCCTTCCCGGGACCCTTCTGTAAGGGGATGTCCAATTGCCAAAAAATAGGCTTTGGGTCTCCACTCCGCACTCCCCCTTATTCACAATGATATGATTTTTTTTGTTCTTTGATGCCTG